CTTTTATTCACCATCTCTCCTCTCTATCTGTTCTTATGGCTGTTTTTGTTTTGGCCATAAACAGAACCTTCACAAAATCAGCTCACAGGCGCAATTCCCACTACATTTCGCAGTTTTGCGCTTCTACAATCCCTGTATGGTCTTTCAACTGTTTCTTGTGTCCTCGTTTGTGGATGTATTTGAACATAGCTTAATGATGACACTGTCACTATCTTCTGCCTACACCTGTATACTTTTGCAACAGTTGAGTCTGCAAGGCTTGTGTAACCTAGTTGGTCCATGGCTATTGTGAAGTTTTTTTTATCCAGCTGTGTTTCACTCTTCACATACAAACAGAGACATTGGGCAATCTAAGTGCAACTCGTGTCCCTTCATAGCTATGAACTTTAGTTTTCTAAAAACTCTGCACTCCATGATTATGTACTCTATTGTTCATAACTTCATGATCGTCATTCTAAAATCTAATCATACTGCAGGACCATTGGAAACAACCAGATTACTGGCTCAATCTCAGATACCATCAGTTCATTTACGGCATTGACAGAGCTGTATGGTCTTCGTTCTCATTACTGATTGTGTTTGATTGTGAGAGCATATGTGAAGTACTGTGTCCACCAAAATGTGATCCAGTTCCTCCTGAAAACCGTTTCTCTCTGATGTTCTTTCCGGTGATGAAAATCAGTGATGCCGTTCATGAGCAAAAACACACTTAGTGTGCATTCTTCCACATGTTTTGCTGTTTAACCTTTCCAATCCCTCTCCACTTCGTTTTACTCTCTGCCAATGTGTCATGCGCCTGATTTGTGCTCAATATCAGACGCCTTCCCAACAATCAGCTCACAGGCACGGTCCCAAGTGGAATTGGCAATTTACAGAAATTGGTAACACTGTAAGTTATTTTCTTTGTGTTTCGTTGCTCTTCTCTCTACCATCCTCACCCTATCGTTTTCTGCTTCTTGTGAACTTGGTCCTCTATCTCCCCAGACAATGACCCTGATCCTTTTTTCTCCTGTCATTTCCTTCCAACATCTTATCCCTCCTCCTCCCATCATTGTGCTAAATCCTTCAATCTCGGTGATCCATTGCTGTCAACAGGGAGCTTCAGAATAACCAGCTAACTGGATTTATTCCCACTGAAATTGGCACTCTTACAAACTTGGTAACCTTGTAAGTTATCCCCTCCAATGAACTGTTTCTTCATCATTCCCCGTAATTCTTCTTCCCCTTTTTCCTCTCCTGATCCTGATCTTTTAGCGTTCCCTTCCTCTACACCGCAACATGAACATTCTGTATTCTTTGCTCTTGTCCCACAATCTTGCAACTACATCAGCAAGCCCGTACTTTGCCATTGGCAAGTATACGTTTTCGTGGCTCTAGGAACTCGCCCGTTCAAATGTTATGCTGTGATGTCCTATCATCTCTGCGCCACACTTTCATCACTGATTGATGCCCCTTCTATGCATTAAATCACAGATCACTTCAAGGAAATTTATTCAGTGGCTCAATTCCTGCTGCCATTCTTTCTCTTTCAAACATGGCGGATATGTAAGCTCCTTCCTGACTTGGCATAAGTTTCTCTTCAGTCTCACTGTTCCAGCTAACAATTCTTCTTTCCTGATTTCTTATCAACATCCTTCATGATTTTGCACACAATTCAGGGACAATATCAGCATGAGTTAGTAGTATCACATATATACAATCTTTACCACCAAAATTTCATTTCTTCGATGCTATCATTTTGTGTTCATGTCTCTAGATGATTTTCCTTTTTCTCTCAAATGCCTCACTTCTGTTCATCGACACAGCTACCTTCATATAAACCAGTTCGTAGGCACAATTCCTGCTGCCATCCTCAACTCAGCAAACCTGAAATCCTTGTACGACCTCTTATTTGTATAGTGATTGAAGTAAGCAGAGATTGAAGGTGCCTAACACCAGGAAAACACACATATCGTATTCAAGAAACGACTCCAGCTTTTTTGGCCTGGTCACTTGTGCTGTAATTTTATTAAAGACAAACTTAAAATGACGAGGAAACAAGTACACCCACCCGCGTGTCCCTCCCTAAACTCAAGAACCTCTTTTTCAATCAATGCTTTGATCACTCCATCAGTCCCTTTTGTAACAACCTCGACCTTTCTTGACCCACCATTCACGTCACAATCACAGGATTCTAGGAGGCAGTCAGCTCACTGGCTCTATCCCAGATACCATTGGCTCATTAACATCGTTGACAGAACTGTATGCTTATTTCTACCATCCCCTACTTTCCTCCTGCAATTTCTATTCGCTTCTCTGCTCCTTCTCATATTCGCACTACAAAAACTCACTTTCTTCACATGTGCACCCTCATCCCCCCTTTCTTCTTGCGTTTCCTAAGATAATCCCTATTTCTAAATTAACACACATGTTCATCACATGCTTGGCTCGTTCTCGTTATTGCAGAGGTTTTTATGACAATCAGCTCACCGGCTCGATTCCTGCTACAATTAGCAACCTTAAAAACCTGGTGACCTTGTGAGTTCCGTTTTTCTTTTAAGTTCCCATTTTTCCTGGTGTGGTGCCAATTGGAGAGCTCAATGGAAGACTTTTAAGAGGAATCAGGTGCAAACAAAATCTTGGAAGACTCGTCAGCAAGCCCACCGTTGAAAGAACATAGGCCTTGCTCGTTTAAATGGTCGAGCTGGCTTTGATGACCGTGCAGAGGCCTGTCCATTGTCTCGTATTCACAAGTGAGTGGCCATCAAGCTGACATTGTGATTGTGGTTCATTGTGAAAAATGTGGCCATCAAAGCTCCTCAATGAGATGTTCTCCCTGCTTCCAATGTGTATTGTCTTCTCCGGTCTGTTTCACCATCTCAGCTTCATTAACAACACTCAGCTCAGTGGTCCAAATCCCTACTGGAATTGGCGGGCTCTCAAACCTAATAAACCTGTAAGCCTGTAGCAAGCTAGGTATACCACCCACTTCTGCTTTGTCGTAGATATTTATGCCTTGACGTCTCCTCTAGTTTCCCTTTCTCTCCACTCCTCTCCCAGTAACATTACAGCTCACCCTTTACAAAGTTTTCTGCAGGGCTTGCACTAAAGTATTGTGAATTCGTTCATAACGGCTATGCCGAAGTAGCCACTTTGTTATTGCCGGTCAGCCCGCATCAAGTGGCTAGGGTTCGCTTCAGCCAAACCTTTAGGCCCGCCGTGTGGGTCCTATTTGAGATACATAAGGGTGATGCTAGATATAAATCTTCCGCAGTTCAATGGTTTAACTTAGTGGCTATGTGCAGTATTTAGTGCATGATTTCTGGCTGGATCTTTGATTCTCACTCATACCGCTGTTCCACAAATTATTGCAGCTTAATTACTATATATTTGTTGCTAGGGCTACAGTTGTTTAGGCAATCAGCTGTTTATACGCCCGTACACAGCCTGAAAAAATAAAGGGCTGCAACCATTTTTCCTTTAAATTTGGAAGCAGCCGAGTCCCCGGCTGGCTGAACCAGTTCAGGTTCGGTTAAAAAATGGGCCAGCTCGAGATTATTGGATACAGACAAAACGGTAACATTCCTAAGCCCGTTCTATGCCTTATCTGGTATTCATGCACTCGTCCGCATTCGTCATCACAGATCTCTTCAAGGGAATCAGCTCACTGGCTCAATTCATACGGCCATCTTCTCTCTTCCAAAACTCGCACACTTGTAAGGCCCCTGGTTTGTGATGTTTTCTTATATCCTGGTCATAATTCTAACAGAAGCTGTTGGTCCCTCTTATTTGAGCTTATGAAGTCACTTGCTTCAACCTTATATCTTTACGGTGGATGATTGTTTGAGCCTAGATGTTTAATCCATACCTATCAGTCCTGACTACGAATTGACCAGCATAAAATTTGTGTTTTGAAGTCGTGTAGTGAATTTGTGTTTTGAAGTCGTGTTTTGAAAAGTCGTGTCGTATGTAAGAGAGAGATATTCTGCGATGAGGGTCGATCTCTGCCTCCACTCATGTGCCACGTTTTTGTGTCTCGCACTCCAAATTAATTCTCGCTAACAGGAGGATCAGCGGGAACCAGCTTGATGGCTCTATCCCTGCAGCCGTGGTTCATTGACATCATTAGAAGAAATGTATGATCTCCTTCCCTCATCATTCGTCCCAGTGGTAGAACAATAGGTTTGAGGCAAGAGGGTTTGCACTAGAAAGTTATGCCGAAACCCTGAAATTTGCAGTGAAAGTCAGTTTGTCCGTCTTCGCTGTCTATGCTATCTGTCTTGATCGCTCTCTCTTTCACTCGTTCTGGCAATGTTTTCCTCCTTGTTATCTGGAATTGCGTGGCCTCGTTGTTATCTGTATGAACATTACTCCCTGAATTCATATCTCCAATGTAATGCTCATCATCCCAGAGTTGTGAATGGCACTCAGCTTACTGGCTCAATCCCAACAGAAATCGGCAATCTCTTGAAACTTACGTACATGTAAGGCTGTCAAACATTTGTTCGCCTCTCCGTTGCACTATTTGCCTGCGAACTTTACAACTCACCTTCTCCTTTTACTCGTGGCATTCTATCAAGTAATCACAATTTTCCCTGTTCACATGTCGTGGTAACTTCATCCTTTAGCAGGGAGGTTACGATTATTTTTAGCTTGTGAGTTGCTCTAGTCTAGAGTTTGAAATTCAAACTACTTATGAAGACCAGTTTCATGCATGCTCTTCACTTGTCGAAACAGGTGCCTTGATCACAACCGCCTCACAGGCTCCATCCCAACTCCCATCAGCAACCTTGCGAATTTGAGAGCCCTGTATGGCCTTGAATTGCAGAATTTATCAGCTTTTGTAATCTCTGTTCAATAAGATCCCTTCACCACAGCCTCCACTCACATACTAGTACTTTCATGCACCTATGGTAAGCTCAGGATGGGGAGGGGACGGTTAGGGAAAAGAAAATCGTTACTTCTGTAGAGGCCTCACGATCCGTCCACCCAAAGGTTTGCAGTCCGGGGCTTGGAATCCAATGGGCCCGGACTTGGAATCCGGGTCCCAGTCCGGGTATCTCCACATTCATGTCGACTATTTTTGGTCACTGGGCAGGGAGGGGAGAATTAGGAAACAAGTTTTGCCTCCCTCGCCGTGTTTAAAAGGGGAAAATGGGAACTGGTTGTGGATCATTGTCCTGTAAAAGCCCTCATTACAGTGAAGCAAATGCTTGGGCATGTTTTGGCCTCCATTATTCCGTCCCCTCTGCATTTTTAAATCACCATCAACAGCCATCTAATTTTTTGTGTATGCAATCTGTACTGTGAGGTCACACCACTGCACCTTTGCCCGTTAAGAGGTAGTTTTTCGTGCCTCCTCTGTTTCCTTTTCTTGCAACCCTCATACGTTCGTGCCAAGTCCCATGCTAGGATTCCGTGTTTCCCATAACGGTGTTGTAGCCCAAGGGTGTTTCCTACTGATTCTATTGCAACCTTCATCCCTCTCCAAAACTGACTATCTGTGCCATGTTTGTCTGCCAAAACACCAAATTTATTGTTTGTTCCACCCCTCCCATAATCGTCACTTATGTGCTCCAGGAATTTAGCCTGCAATTCTTTGACAGGACCGATCCCAACACTGATTGGCTCGTTGAGCAAGCTTCAAGAGCTGTCAGTCCTGCACTGCATTCGTTTTTGAAACACCTTAACCTCTCAACCTTGTTACAACCCATTTCTAGAAGCTTGACCTACGCTGGTGCTCTCTTGTAAGAACATTCCTGTTGGTGCTCCACAGACACTCCTTGACAAGATTGTATTCTTTAGTTTCTTTTCCTGGAACGTCCCAACTATTTTCTACCTAATGAAACCAGAATGTTGCTATACTTGTCAGCCTAAACTTATTATAAATCTGGTGCGAACTTGCATGTGCCAACTGCAGTGGGGTTGCACTGACAATGTGGCCATTTGGTTGCTCCATTTATGATTTTATCTATGCAGCGACCTCAGTATGAACAACCTCACAGGACCAGTTGTGTCACTCATCAATCTTTCCAGTCTTTCTTCATTGTGAGTCATATCCTTGACCTTGTTGAGATATTCATGCGTGATACACCTAAATTCGTCCAAGAAGAAGAGCTTTATCCCACACACTCTTCAAAAGATGGGATGCTCACTCACGGGCCACTCATTCCCATACGTCTATATTAGAACATGCTGCTTCATACCCCCTATGATTACTTTCTGCTATTACAAATACGTGCACGTGGGCTAGTCTCAATGGTCTCCTTTATTGAAAATACATGGCAGGTTCTTGTACCGGAATGAGCTCGTTGGTGGCATACCTGAAGGCATCTTCACCCTTGTGTCCCTGGAGCAGCTGTGAGAAGATTACACCATTTACCACTCCCTAGTCATGCCAGCATATCATGTATCTTGTATTCATGTGATGCTTCTCTCTGTCAATTAGCTGCTTAGCATTGCGTGCATAGACATTTTTTCCTTCTTCGTGCTTGCATCTCTGCAGCGATCTCAGCATGAACAATCTCACGGGGCCTATTTCGTCATTGCTGGGCAGCCTTTCCAGGCTTCGAAAACTGTGAGTCGTTGCCTCGGTGTAAGTGCGAGCTTTGCTGCATCCATACTTCTGCATACCATAGCCTTTCCTGGGGACTCGCTAGTTCAATCATCTCAAGCTTGACCTTCTAGTACCATACTGGATTTCTGACTTGCAGGTCTCTCCAACAAAATCCACTTGGCGGAACCATTCCTCATACCATCAGCAGACTTACTTCTTTAACCTATGTGTAAGCTGACTGGTGGCACACTCCTATTCTTCTGAGAATGACCCAATTTAGGCTCAGGGATTTTCATTGCTTGCAGCTTACACTGCACCGAGAGTGCTTCACCAAATCCACAGAATTGTTTCCACTCATATCCCGCCTCTCCTGTTTCTCGCTGATATTATTCTTGGGTCTTTGGTTTCGTCTGAGATTTGTCATTTCTGATATTTTTTTGCACTTGCCTATTGTCCCCCAGTATCGTCTTACCTTAGCAGCACCTTCTCGTTTTCGCAGCAACCTCTCCTGCCAAATCATTTTTTTATAACTTGCTCCCCAATTCTCGGACACACCTTGGAGCATGTGCATAGTTCTCTCTCATTATCCCTCCTTCCTGTGCCCATGCACTACATTTGTCAACAGTGCCCATCGAGCCGCCATCATTGACCTTGCTGTTTCTCTAGTCAAGTTTTTCAAACTGAACTTCTTGCTTGTGCACACATTCTTCCAGGCGGCTTGAAAACAATCAACTCACTGGCTCAATACCCAGTTCCATCAGCAAGCTTGCATACCTGAAAGCCCTGTATGGCCTCTAGCTATCCTTGCCCTTGTTTGTCTCTTGTCTCCTGTTCTATCTAAATTCACCATCAACCATTTTCCAACGGTGTGTGTCCATGAGTCAAGACCTAATCTTCTTCCTCTTTTTGCTTCTTCTGCTTCTCATCCCAACCTCAACATTCTCAGCGGTCTGGGTGGCAATCGTCTCACAGGCTCAGTCCCCAGTGAAATCCGCGAGCTGAAACTCCTGGAATCCCTGTATGGATCTCCGCCACTCTGTCCCTCTCTTGCTGCCCTCTGATCTCAAGTTCCATCCACTGCCCACCACCATGTGCTCATTTTGCTTTTGTTTTAGGTGCTCGCCATACCATGTGTGAGGACACAACTGAAGTAAGCTACTTTTGGATGTACGGCACAAGGGACTTGATGACGTATCTGAGAATTCTATGCTAGTATATTGATGTACAAATGACGCTTAGTCAGCATCGATTGTAGGCAAGAATGGGTGTCTTAGCATTTTCTATCTTATTGCTTCATGCATTGTTTTCATAACCACAGAACTCTCAGAGGCAACCAGTTCACTGGAAACTATCCCAGCTGCTATTGGGTCATTGACAGCATTGACAGAAATGTATGAGCCACATGCCTTTTCCTTCTATTATGCATTATCTTCACTCTCATCTGCTGAAATGACTCTCTTTGCTCGCTCGCTGCTGCTCTCTACACAAGCAATAAAATTGATTCTCGGGAAATGCAGGGGTTTGATTAATGGGGTGTATGGATGAGCATAAAATCAAGATCGGTTCTCCACCCTTCTTACAACTCCCATTTTCACTCTATCATGGTCGGCTATTCCATGTGTTAACAAATTTTCACCCGCAGGGTGTGAATCATTTCCAGTCCATACTCTCATCTATTTCCATATCCTCTATGCAGATTCTCAGGAACATGTACACTGGAGTACAGGTTCCTCCATTACCACTCCAGCGCCAAATGCGATTTCATAAAACTACCAGCTGTTCTTAACGTACCTAAAGTGAATGCACCTACCCCATGCCTGTTTCATGTGTCTCATCACAGATTATTTGGTGATAATCAGCTTACGGGCTCCATTCCCACAGAACTTGGAAATCTTGTCAACCTTCAATTTCTGTAAGTCCTTTGCAAATCCTGGTTCTTTCAATGACACTTACGTTCTGCGTTCTATTAAAGGCTCTTAGGTTTTGCCTTCAATGCATGTCGATTTCCCACACGTGCAGTGGGCAAAGAATCACCCTCACTTCGCGAGCACACATTGACCATCACAATTGCATTATGTCTTGCGAAGCTTTGATGATTGTTTTGTACTAATTTGACTCCGTTCATATTGCGAATGCTGCATTTGTCTCTCCTTCATGTCAAACTTTATGCTCAACATAAAGGTCTCTCTTTCAGAACAAGCTTAGTGGATCTATTCCTGCTGGAATCGGCAATTTTCAAAACCTGGCGTGGCTGTGGGGCCTTTGCTTTTCTTTTACATCCCACTCCCCTCCACTTTCTGCACTCACCACACGGTCCCCTTGCCGTACCACGAGCTGGTAGACTATTTGATAGACTGACCTGTAATAACTGGTGAATTCCAGAACTCAGTGTAATCAATGAAAAACCGATAACATTGAATACATTTTTGGCTAATTCGATGGCTCCCTGTTATGGCCAGCAGCTGAATGTTTTGTGTAGAACATGTACTGTAATAGTCACTCTTATTGTTGGTTTTTTCAAATATGGACCTTTAGCCACTATATCGCTCTCTGTGGTTTGTTATATTTTGTTTCTTCTCGTGCTTGTGTTTTCCATAAACAGAAACCTTCACAACAATTCGCTCATAGGAGCAATCCCCACCACATTTAGCAGATTTGCGCTTCTAAAATCCTTGTATGGTCTTTTCTCCATTTGTGCTCTGCATGTTCGTAATATGCATTCTATATATACGTAGCCGAATCCAAAATGAAGGGACTGCTGAAACTGTTTGTGCTTCTAACTGATTCCAACAGCATTTGTGCTGGATCTCCTTTCCCCGCCCTTTATTCCTGCATCCTACTCCTCCCCCCACCCCCCCTCCCCCCCCCTTTCCCCCCCCAACTGTCTTTCCCACCCCCCTTGCCCCCTCCCCCACTCCCTTCCCCCCCCATGAAGACTGGTCTTATGTCATCTGCCCATCATTTGACAATCTTGAAGCAGGGTCTATGGTCCACAATCGACAGGTTTTCAACTCTTTCTTTGTGATCCACATACTACTCCCACTCGCAGGACTATGGGAGGCAATCAGCTCACTGGCTCAATCCCAGATACCATCGGTTCGTTTACGGGACTGACAGAGCTGTACGTACTTAATTTTTCTTATCAGTACCTGACATTCTCTCTTCACTCCATTGTTCCTACGTACAGATAATATCACCCAGCCTAACCTAAACTAACATTCTCTTATCAACTTATGCTTTCCCCACAGTTTCTGTATGGAAAGGCCATGAGAATGCAAACGTTTCTCCTCACTTGTTATTTTCCTCACCACTCCTTATGACTCTCGGCCAATGTGGCTCTTGCCTGATTTGTGCTATTATTCAGGGGCCTTCATAACAATCAGCTCGCAGGCTCAGTCCCTAATTCTATTGGCAATCTTAAGAGCCTCGTAACCTTGTAAGTCTCCTTCCCTGCTGTGTTTCCCTGCCTTCCTCTCAACCCTACGGATTTCTGCTTCTCTTCAAGTTCCCTACTCTTGTCCCCTTGTTACCATTGTTCCACTTTCTCCTCGTTACCTTGTTACCAGGCACTGAATTTATATGCACTATGCGATTTGTGCTATACTGCCAACCTATTGCAACTAAGATGAATTCTCAAAGTTGTGAAGCATGTCAGGATGTCTGATTATGCTATTGTTGGACAAATGTTGTGGCCAGAACATTGCAACGTTGGCACATGATTCGATAAAGATCTGTTATTGTTGGTCATGTTGCCCTTCCTCCATCTGCGCCGTATTTCGTCTCTTCACCTTCGATTGCTCCCATTATAACCATACTACAAACTCTCAAATTCTCTTTGTTTCACCGATCCACAAATATTCTTACAGATCATTACAAGGGAATCTTCTCAGTGGCACAATACCTTCTTCCTTATTTTCTCTTGCAAAACTGGCTCAGTTGTAAGCCTGCTAGTTTCTTTGTTCCTTTTGTCATTTTCCGCTTTGTGTTCTTTGCCAGTTCCTGTACCAGCACGTAGTGCACTGTACATGTGTTACCATTCTTTCTCATTATCCGACCCTGCCCGGCCCAAAGCTGGGCCCAACGACCAGGCTGGGTCGAAGCCGAACATAACAGAATCGTGCCGAGGCAGACCCATGAAGGGCTGGCTGGTATGGGCAGTCTGAACTACCCTTTTGTGTATCACATAATCACATGAATGCGAGTGGGGCAGAGTGTCCAACCACTCGCCCTGCATCTAACTACCCACCTCGTCCTTGGTTCGTCAAGGGTGTAGCACATTTGTGACGCGCATGGGCTGCGGCCACCGAGCAAATAGTGCATGGATCTGGCACGAGTAACGGGGGCAGCTGGGACCGATTGAGCTGGGTCAACCTGATTCATTGTTGTTCTTCTGGAGAAACAAAACAGGCCCAGTTTTATCCCTAACAAACTCGTTTATGTTCGGGTCAGGCCAGGCCAACGACCATCTGTGGTCGTACTATTTGAGGTTTTTGTTGCCGTCCTATTTTACTTATCCCTTTCTGATGAAATTCATATGCATTCCCGATGTTCATAACTTCCACTAACCTCCTCTCCTCATTTCCTACTACAGTTACCCCACGTTGTTGACTTTTGGAAACCTCTTTTGTACTTATCTTCGTGATCTTGAATCTCCTTCCCAGGACAATTGAAAACAATCAGCTCACAGGCTCAATCCCAGACACCATTGGCTCATTTCCGGCCTTGACCGAACTGTATAGCCTTCAACTTCTCGTTAATAGCAGTTTCCTGTGTGAGGTCTGGACTGCTACAAACGTTTTAGTGTGCTCTCGCCACATTATCTACACTCGTAATTACTCCATTGGGGTTGTCTTCCTTCTGATGACAAGTGGGAGCAGCCGAAGGAACTTCTCACACTTCTACCTATGTCCACGCCTTTCTCCTTTTCCTTGCGAGCTTATTTATTCTGCCTTTTCATCACTTGTCTTGCCTGATCTATCAGAGGCCTTTACAACAATCAGCTCATGGGCACAGTCCCTACTACAATTGGCAATCTCAAGAATCTCATATCCTTGTAAGCCTTCTTTAAAGTGCCGTCCTGCTGCCTTCATAGCCTGCCTATCCTTTTTATTTCCTTCAGGACTGTCCTCTCTTGGCCCCATTATGGAAGTCTCTTCGTTTCTTTCCTGAGTGTCCCAGTCAAAATTAGAACCAACCCCTGTGCTCTTTTGCCCTATGCCTCTGGAAAAAACAATTCACAAACTTTGACCAAGCTTATCAGACTAAGATGTGTCAAGATGTGTGCAGATGTCACTTGCACGACATTGTTTGATTCCTTCCTATGCTCATTACGATTTCTGTAATTGATTTCTTTTCCTCCTCTGCTCCTACCTCGAGATTCTCGTCATACTTCCGACTCCTCTCCGTTCCCTGTGTCTTCTCAATTTCGAAGTTACTTCTTTGTGCTACATAGTTTGGTTACTCTGTCTTCACATTTTCTCGTCTCCCCACCTTGGATTCAGCCATCCTTCCTCTCCTTGCCCATATTAAATGCTTGTCATCACAGATCTCTTCAAGGAAATCTACTCACAGGCTCAGTTCCTTCTGAAATCTTCTCTCTTGGAGGATTGACCAGCTTGTATTGCCCCTGTTGGATCTTTACTCTGGCACTATTAACCTTGTATTCTCCCTTAGTTTTTTAGCAAGATGTTTCCTGTGCAACTGTTATTTTATTTGGCATTTCATTGCTCTGGAACCACTGACGTTCGCCTTCTTATATGTTTGCCACCATCTTTTGTCCATACCTGGATTGTTTTCCACTCCAGTTTCTTTCTCGTATCCAGCCCATCCATCTCTTCATATTTTCCATCCACGTTTCAATGTTCGCCCCTATTGAATGTGTATACGGAGCATCATGATGGCGTTTACGTAGGCCCACTCATTTCTTTACCTTCCACTCACTACTGCTGTCGCTCTAGGATTTATGCCACACCCTCAATTTCGTAACATACGCTGTTACCTTCAGCATGTTGTTTCTCTCTATGGCTCGACCATGCGAACTTCAACTCTTTTTTTTGTGTCTCAAACGCCTGTTTCATTATAATATTACAGATATCTTCATAATAACCAGTTTACAGGCTCAATACCAGATATTGCCTTCAATCCGACAAATATGAAATCGCTGTACGTTCTCTGAATTGGTGGTCTACAACGGCTTCCCCTCCGTTTCACCATTTCCATGTCACACAGTAAGCTTAAACTACTGGTCACCTTATACCCCTTGTCTGATTTTTAACAATTATGTGAGATCAGTGTAGGTTGCATTCTACAGGCACATTGATGTTGGGGTTGGGTTCTGGTGTGGACGATATTGAAGCATCTAGTTGACTCAGCCACATTCTCAAGTCGGGTCTGATCAAAAATCACTTCTGGGTTGGATTATTCGACCAACATCTCATAGTTCTCTAAGTTAGACATCCAAACAAAGTCGGCCAGTAAGAAGAGTTGGAATCGTTAGAATATGGACCCCACCAGGTCAAGAGCTGTATGCAAACTTAAATGAATCCTGGATCCTCTCCCTAACGAATTCTTCCTTCCTCAGCTGCCAACGTGCCCTAGCTGCGGTTCACTCTTTTTCCCATGGTTTTGTTCCCTCTTTGTCATGTCACCTCTCTTCCTCATCAAGTCATTCCTAATCCATCCTTTTGGCTGTTGTTTCCAATCCCATCGTCTTTCCACAATAACAGAAATCTTGGAAGCAACCAGATCGTTGGCTCTATCCCATCTACCATTGTCTTGTTAACATCTCTGACAGAACTGTATGCGTTTTGTTTTTGTTTTTTTTGTCTTGGGTTGTCCCCTGCACTTTTGAATCTCCTCCCTCACTGTCACTTGTGTTTCCTTCACACCATCTCCCTTTTTGTCTAACCCTTTCTGATACCCATCCCATATCTACCTCTCTATGCTGGTGTCTTCTATCGTCTCATATTCTATGTATGTATTTGATTACATACGCTGAAATTATGTTTTCGACTGATCAATTGCACCCATTGTCTGTTCCCTTGAATATAACTGTTGCGCTGCTATTGTGCTTCGTATCTAAGTGCGCAAACTCAGAATCTGTCCATCATATGCCATGTTTTTGCCCGTAACCACAGCTGTGTGAATAACAACCGACTCACCGGCTCGATCCCCCCTGCAATTGGCAATCTTAAGAACCTGGTAACCTTGTAAGTCCTCAGATTTGTTGTGCTGTGCCTTCTGTTCTTCTCTCCACGGAAGGTAAATTTACGCATTCTACCTCGTATAGCACACGCACCACTCGTATAGTGCATGCCCCACTCGAATTTTCATTGTGGGACTGTTATATTTGCAGAATGCATTGCTGACTAGATATGGTCTTACTTCAATTCCATGCTCTTATTACGTTTGCAGTAAGATTCTCTCTATGGCCCTATTCCTCCTGGCATCGTCTCATCAAACAGCATTGGAAATTTCATACAGTGTTTTTCTATCCTTTGCTTCATGAGATTCCCCTGGTGCCAGGATAGAAGGTACCATTCTTGCAACAGCAAGTTCAGGCTGGCGCTGTCAAGGAAAACAAACTAATGCATTCCCTTTGTCGCGTCCAATCTTTCCACCCGAACTTGAATTCTTAGTGTTTGCCATTCTCATGTTTGCCTTGACAGGATGCTCCATGACAACAACCTCACCGGCGTAATTCCCGCTGCTATCAGCAACCTTCAAAGCCTGACCCTCATGTAAGGCCTTTGCTTGGCTTTACTGACGTACCTCTTCCCCTGCAGGCTGCAGTTAGTTACTTTGCTATCAAATACACATTCATGATGCCATAATTCTCTACAGCTGTGTAATTTCACGCATGGGACTCATCCCTATCTTCCCAGCCTCTTGTGTGCTGTAAACCTTTCCTGCCAAACCATCACCGTCTACTATGCATCCCCACCATTTCACTTTGATCCTCACTGCATGATGCAGGAACTTAGCCCGGAATGGATTGACAGGCTCGATGCCCTCAATGCTTACAAAATTCAGGGACCTTCAAGAGCTGTCAGTTCCATAGCTCTGTTCTCTACCCATTCTCTAATCATCATCATCTCAATTCGTAATTGGACGCTTGATAAGCTATAATTATTCTTCGTATTAACATGCCTTTCCCCCTCTTAGAATACGCTCCACATAAAAAGGTTTCTGA